CAGGAACCCCGAAGGAAAAAAAAAAAAAGGTCTGAAGTGAAGGTCGCGCATCTCTGTCCGGAAACCCCAAAAAAGGTGGCCCGGGCACCTGCCTCCCCGCGGCCCGAGGGATTTCCCAAAAGGCCGCTCACCTTTGCTCGCGGTCACCGCTGCCCGTCTGTACGAACTCTGTACTCCCGGTGAACGCCTTGGTCCAGCCGCGCGCACCGCCGGTGCCAGCCGCTGCTCGCCGAGCGCTGATGCCCCCCGTCCCTTCTGCCTCCTGTCCAGGGAAAGCCCTGCTCCCCCTCGCCCGAGGGCCGCGGCGCAGCTCCCCAGCCTCCGCACGTGGCGGGGGGTTTATGCGGGAACCCAAGCAGAATGGATCGCTACCGGTATTTCATCTTCAACCAGAGGAAGATGGTCGTGCTGGGCCTGTGCCAGATAGCCTTCAGCACGGTCTGCGTCGTCAGCGGGTTCATAGACGGCATTTTCAGAACGGAGTCTCAGCTGGGCAAAACCAGAGCTCCGATTTGGGCTGGGATGGTAAAGTTGCACTCTATTTTCTATGCTTTGTTTTGTGGTTTTGGGGGGTGGGGGGGTATGTGTGTGTGTCTCCCCTGCCCCACTGCTATGTACTAGTGCTCAGCTTGGGGGTGGGAGGGAGGCCAGGGCTTCTTGCCAGCTCTTCCCTGGTTTCCTGCTTTGAACCCAGATAACAAAAGTGTCCTGATCATGGTACAGGCAGGAGAATGCAAGCAGCCTTCCCCCTGGAGGAGCTGAATAAAATGCATTTGTACTGGATAATGTAGAAAATGGGGCACGGTGGCACTTGACAGGGTGACAGGGTTCTTTGCAGAAGAAGCGCAGAGAGGCCGCCAAAGATTAGGAGGGGAACACTTCATCCTCATACCAGGTAGGTGAGCATCTGGGCGATGATCTGTGTCCCGCAGCACAGTGCCACTAATTCTCTGTGCCGCACCGAGGAGCGGGCAGCGGGCATCCTCGCTCCCCGGCGTTCGGTACCCTGATGTTCCTGTTCGTACCCCGGTGAGCCGCGCCACAGGGGAGCTGTACTGGAGCTCCCTCTTCCATCCGGAGGCTGCCCGTCTCCCCTCAGTAATACCTTTCTTCCATCTACAAGATGCGTAAGGAATTGGGAAAGCAGTGTGCATTTTTAGCACTTTATTTGGACTTACTTAATCAGTTTTATTTTTTGGCCAGAGCTGTAAAGGCAGTCGGAGGGTTACTGCTGTGGGGGGTAGTGGGTGGGCAAAATGCATTTCACGCAGTGTCCTGCCCCCAGGAGATGCTGCAGAGGAAACCAGGAGAGATCAGCAATTCTCCTTCCATTTCTGACCCAACAGTTACTCTGATCCAAGCCTTGAAAACGAGGGCTTTTCATCTGCTCTGTATGATATCTTCCGAATCCGAGATACTTGTCTCCCCGTTACCAACTCCTTCTGTGCTCTTGCAGGTGATGGGAGTCCCAGGCGTCCTGGCTTTGTTTTCTTCTCAGAGGAAGAATCCAGTTCTCGTAAGCCTGGACAGGGGGGGACTGTGTGTGTACGGGGTGGGAGCGAAATGTTGTCGGGGCAATCGAAAACAGTTTTGATGGGGAATGAGCTGGCTGGTTGTTCTGCAGGACTGCGAGCTTATTTCTGCAAGTTACCTTCATAAAAGCTGCTACGTTCCTAAGCAAAAGGAAGATGCAGCGTTACCTCGCTTTCTGCTGCAGCAGGCGAGCCATGGCTCTAATAACACGCAAAAATCTATAAAAATGCTTGCTTTTGCATTAATTTCTTTTGGTGTTCCTTCCTGTTATTAAGAATTGTGTACACTAAAATAGGAAACAAGTTAATTTATTTGCATTTCCTAGGCAGGTCCCTCCAGCCGTGTAGTCTTTGGGTCCAGCTAGCACCAGTGGGTAAGGTTTGGGACTCAACTGTAGCTCAGGAATTCAGTATCATGGAAACCTTTACTGCTCTGTGTTTGGCTTCCCGGTGACTGTTGCTACTTTTTGGTGTTATGGCAGGTCAAAGGCTTGTACCTACAATGCTTGTTCGTCCATTTTGTCTGTTATTAATTGCATGGATTTGTCAGAGGATACTTTTAATTCCTGCTCCCTTTCTTTTTCTCCTTTGGTTTCACTCTCTAGGTGAACGTGCTGATAGTTGCTTCCATAATCTCTTGTGTTGCCATCCTCATCGTAGTCATTTATAGCTCCCTCACGCTGAACTACGGTGAGGAGGAGGAGCTGAGTTCTGCCCCAGTCCATGTTATCCATACCGTAAGTATTGATATCATGCTTATTACTGGGGAACGTGACCATCGTAATCTACAAATGTTACTAGGCACGACTAGGAACCAGACTTCCAGAGTGCCTAAATTAGAGTTTGAAATGGTGCCTGCAGCAGGGCACTTCTTTAAGAACATTTGCCCAAGTCTACAGTTGGGTCCTGAAACCCACAAAAGCCATGCAGGACTAGATGGGCAGTTAACAGCTAGCTCCTGCCACTCACTGCTGCTGCGGCATGGCTGGCGTCGGTGGCTACGTGAACCGATGCCCAGCTGGCCTGGATGCCCCCATCTGAGAAGCAGCTGCTTGAGAGCAACAGCTCGCCCTCCGAGGCGTGCGCACTGGGCATGTCCCCAAACATGCCACCGGTGGGATAACTGCTGCTGCTGAGTGCAAAAGGGTTTGGGTCATGCCAGGGAAAAATCATGGTGTGGCTGACGAAAAGGGGTAGGTGCTGGACGTATCCCCGGCCTGGTTTTGAGGCAGCAGTCGCAAAGCTCAAATCCTCTCCAGCGTGCACCTCAAGTGATAAAGTTACAGGTCAGCTGGTTAAAGCTGGGTGTTACTTCAAGTGTATCCTCCATGGTACAGCTGAAAAGAAGGAATGAGCACCCCAAACCTGGTAGAAGTGATGGCTCCCTGTGGGGATGAAGATGTTCCAGGTGGATGAAGCTGTTCATTAGTTTATTGCAGGGCAAATCAAAATGTCAGCCTGCTAAGGTGCCGTATAGCAAGAAGACATTTCTCATACTCGGCATGAAGAGGAGCAGCCACTCCTTGGGTTGCTACTCTTTGTTAAAGCTATTTCCAAACCTGATGCCGTTGCATAGTCTCTTACATTTAATCAGAAGCCTTATTTTACTGCTTGCTCTTCTCCTATTTGAGGTCCACACTTGGCTTGTTCTGCAGAGCACAGGCAGAAAAGCCTTCAATAACACTGACTCTGAATCGATCTCCTCTGATGCAATCGCAGCATTCTTGCAGTCATTAGAATATTTTTTTTGGTGGAGAGCTTCACTTTTTGAATACGGCTTTAACATTTCTTTTTCTGGTTGCAGAAGTTCATACTTAATAAAGTAGTCAAGGGCGCTAACGTAGCCATGCTAGCCGCATCCATCTGCAGCGCTTTTGTCGTGCTGGTGATGGCTTACTTGGGATGCCGGAGTCTTCCTCGCTGCTCATGCTACGATAGCGTAACTGGGATGGTGAGTGAGGGGCCCAGGGCACCCATTTATTTGTACCGAGTGTGGGTAGGAAGGGGAGAAACTGGGGAGAAGATGTGGTTTTCTTCTGTAAACCTACCCTCAGCTCTACCTCAGTCATCCGGGGCTAATTCTAAGAAATTAAGTGGATGTTAGAAGGGGTTTATATTTTTTGTATTTTTCCTTTTGCTACCTTCCTCTTGCTTACAGACTTGTGTGAGACATAGCATAAACTATCCCCATTTTCCAAACCGTTTGTGCTCAAGCCACTGTGGTCCCATTTCCTATGAACTCCTGCCCTCCTCACAACCTGCCCCTTCTCTCACCCGCAAACCAATGATTGCTCCTGGCACAGCATTTCGGAGACTTACTGGTACATAAACACCAAGATGACCATGTGTGACGTGCAGGGGAGCTGAGACACCATGTTTTACTGCTGATTTATGAGGACTCTACCTGCAGTGATGGGGCACAGACCACCTCTCTGATAAGAGAGCTCAGTAAATACCAACCTCTTCTCCACTAGGGTAATTCTGATGCTGTATTAAACGTGGCCATCTGACCATCTCGTTGGGCAAGGAATGAACGGGTATGGGTTACGAGGCAGCTGTTCTTGACTAAAGATACCGAGTGTGTAATGTGAGGCTGCTTTAAACTTTTAGTCTAAAACTTGTTAGGAGGAGTGGACTACACGGACTTTTAAAATGAGTTCAGGTCTATCTTCTTGAACAAAGTCACAGATGAGGTTTTTGATGGCATGGTTTCATTCGTAGGAATGGTTGCAACCTAGCGAGGACCAAAATCAGGCTGTGGAAATGGTTTGCGCTGTACAAAGTGAGTAGCTCTTTCCCCCCATGTATTTGGATATTCACCAGGGATGTGGAAGGAACATCCTGGCCTGTCCCAGGCCAAAATCCTGATAACCAAAATACTCTGACCCAAAAAGAACTCAGGTCTTTGTGCCAAGTGTCTACACCAGGTTTAATGGTTTCCTCTTTCCTTCCCCACACAGGCCCTGGAGACAGAATTTTTAACTTCCCGGATCGGTTTCCAACCCAGGACTTAGATGCAGAGGAAGATGCATCCAAACCTCCACCGTATATCAGAATGTCTTGAAAAAGCTGTCAAACATTTTAGAGCTACTAGTCTAAAAACATGGCCAGACAGATGTAAGAAGTTCTTCATCTTTAAAGATGGTTATGCACTTTCCCTTGGCCTTTTAAAAAACGCCCACGGGAAGAGAGAACTATTGAATGCCCAGCGTTCAGCAAATGTGACAGCGCAAAGCAGAAGATCTGCCGATGGTTTTGGACGTTCAGCCTTTGTATAGCTAAAATACCTCATCACCTCTGGAAAGTGTGAGCACTTTGTCCTCCAGCTTTTGTACTTAAATCATGTTTTATTCCACTAGAATTCATCATGCAGTTTGTCTAGCAGTGCTAGCCTTAGGCATTCAAATATTAAATACAATTCATTTTTAAAAGAAACTGGTGGTGGAGTATTTCCCCTCTCCAGCTGCTGTCTCGATTTGTCCCCCTTACCCAATGAATCAGTTGGATGATACGGTGGTGGGTGAAAGATAACGAAGGACCCACTTCATTACTGAGTTTCAGAGTGCTTTTCCTTTTCTTCTTAGCCGCGACGGGGGCAGGTGACGTTTATGATAGGAAGCCTGGCCAGTGCCATTCAGGCACCTCTGTCGAAGTGTGGATTCTGCGGGGCGTACGTGTGTCGGTACAATTGGGTTTGGTGCTGAAGTGTAATGCCAGGGTGTAGTAGGAACTGGGGTTGCAGTAGCTCCTCTTACAGAGTAACTTAGATACTCTGAATTCAGTTCTGCTTTTTCTATTTCAAATTTGGAGACTGAAGGTTTAAAAAAAAATGCTTATTTGGGAGCCCGTTCTGCTAGAATTTATTACAGAGACAGATCAAGGTCCTCTGCTGGAGATTCTCTAGAGGACCTCTTGGTCCTTCCTCTCACCTAAGGAAATACAGCTTCCAGTCAGCTCCTGAGGTGCCTAAAATTCCCAGGAGTTTTCTCACTTCCAATTCTCCAATTCTCTCGCCCAGCCCACCGCGGGCAGGGGAAAGCGAGCCAGCGGCTGTGTGGTGCTTAGTTGCTGGCTGGGCTTAAACCACGACAGTCCTTTATGATTTAGGTCGGCTTAGAGGTGTCCGTCAAGTGATCATCCTGCCTGCAGGCCTTGAGCATGAAGCGGTAGATTACTTACCCCACGAGGTAGATGAACACAGCACGTTCCTTTGAGCAGGGCTTGAAAATAAGTTCCCATCTGGAGAAAGTGCTGTGAGTAATAGGATAAGTCATGCCCACCGTGAGGGATGTAACTCCGGGAATGAGCTCAGGTAAGGTTTAGCTTATTGCAGCATATGATGTGCCTTTCCCTTTCCCGAGAGAAGAGTGAATTAAATTGTTCTTGATTTTTTTTCTTCTAGAGACCAGAGCCTTTTTCATAACACTGGTAAGGGGACTCCAACACCTAAATGAAGAGCCTCACCTGATGAAAAAAAGCACTGTGAAGGCAAAATGCCAGGCAGTCCTCTGAGTCCGTGCTTATCGCACTTGCACGTGAAATGCCCTTGGTTCCAAACCAGCTTGCCACAGCTGCATCATCAGAAATTAGCATTGCGGTATGCAATTAATCCTGGCATATGCAAATTAGCAAATCCTGTCCAGCTTCATAGTCTCTCGGGGTCAGTGCAGTACAGAGATGGACAGTTAGTTTCTATTAAATTAGTTGTAAAATGCCTAGGACTAAACATCTTCACATTTTGAAGAGTTTATGTTTGAGGATATTTTCCACGTTTTGTTGTAATCTCAAACAGAAAAACACCCCAAGCTGCCTACAGAGGAAGTCCCAGTGGACTCTGGCATCCCTTTGTACGTAAGGTGCTTACCAAGTGGCTCCTTTACTGACTTTAACCATTAAGATTATTAATGGCTGGGATTATAAAGAAAGATATTCAGACCACTGGCCTGCCTCCGCAGCCCTCCTCCGGTCACACATGGCTTCCCCTGCTGCCCGGCTTCGGCCGGGGGAACTGCCCCCATCCCTCGGCGCTCAGGCCAGCAGCGTCGCTCGGGGCTGCAGGTCCTATTCCGGCAACTGGAAGTTTGACTACACACCACAGTAGCCAAATTCTTTCTGGCTTTGGCTCTGAATACCTTCATATGCTTGCCTACATCAACCAAAACACAGCTGGTGTCATTGCAGACGTCCATTTGAAGGTATCAATGTTTGAATTACTACATTAAAGTAATTCAAGCAATGTAATTCAAAAAGTGATGCGGTGCCTTTTTCTCTGGCGTAGTACCTGTCAGCAAGCATCAAAGCGCTGAGCGTGACTACTTTCCCCATCCGCAGATGCTTCTGGCGTAACTCCAAACAGTCTGCGATGAAATGTTGGGGTTTGTCTCCTTGATTAACATAAACTGCTGTTCTCAAACATTAAAAGAAAGTAGGACTCCCCGAGGGGTTGTTGTGACTGCTAATAGCTAAAAGCAGTACGGCTTTGATTCTCCTTTAGTCAGGAACAGGTTTTTTGCCTTTGAAAGGAGAAACTTGCTGGCAGTAGTTTGTTGCTAAAATGCACTGAGTAGTTTGTTGCTAAAATGCACTGCTCAGCCACTGCATCGTTTCTGGGTGGAAGCTACGCGGTCCCATCCAGAAATACTGTTCCGTGACTGGTCGTTACCGTATGCGATGGTACGTACCCGGGGTAACGCAACGGCGTTGGGCTGCTGGGCGAACAGAGCAGTTAGGGTTTATTGCAGGCACGCGCCGAGATTACGTGTCACCGGTCCCTGTTCGAATGCGGGGCTGTCTCCATCGACTGGGAAGGATAACTCCCGAGGTGAGGGTGTGCAGGGCAGATGCAACCACAGCCGGTGCAGGTCAGGTCCTCCTGGCACGGCTCCGAGGCCCCAGCCCCTTCCTCCCCACCAGCATTGAAAGTGGCCGATCGGTGGCATTTAGTGACAGGCAGACCCCTGCCAGCGTGGCGGGTGTTCCTGTGGCTGTGAAAAGCCTTAACAGCAGGTATTGAAGGACGAGTGTGTGACAGAGAAGTGTGCTCTATGCTATCTCATCCCTGGAGGTGTTTAAAAGCCGTGGTGCTTAGGGACACGGTTTAGTGGTGGACTTGGCAGTGCTGGGTTTATGATTGGACTTGATGATCTTAAAGGTCTTTTCCTACCTGAACAGTTCCATGATTCTAGGATTCAGCAGCAGCTTTAAAGCCCTCAATGGCCGTATTTCTCTTTGTAGTCCTCCCAGTGGTGCAACCCCAGCATCGCTATCGCAATACCAGCACCTCAGAGCGCTTACAGACACAGAATTTCAGCAGTTCTTTCTGCAAAAGGAGAGTTTCTAGAAAGGAAGCAGCTGCAATATGGAAATTGGTGGAAACTGTATACTGATTTAATGTCACTCCCTCTAATTGGTTAGCATTGCAGAAAGTACATTCCTGATTGCAGCTTCCAGTGCTATATTCGGTAGCCCGTTCCATATGCGAGTTACGGTGCCTTCCCAGAGCCTGCCCCTATCTCCAGGGACATTTCATGGTTTGCATCACCCCCAGCTTTCGCTGCTGGAAGTCAGATGGATTTTTATTTATGCTGCAAACGCGCATCCATAGCACCTCCAGTAGAAATGGCCTCGTCATTTGTTCCCCACAGACTTTTCCTCGTTGGCAAGATCCCAGGAGCCGAGCCGACTTCCCCGTTCCTTCCCAGCACTGCAGGATTTCCCCTCCGGGGTGGGCAAAGGCCCGTGGCCGCTGGCGGGCGGTGCGGCAGCAGGGTGACAGCCTGTGCCAAGGGGTGGGCGCAGCAGCGGGTCGGCAGCCTCAGCACCGTGCCAGCAGAATAACGCAAGCAAAGCCCAAGGGGAAAACAAAAAAGAATAGAAATTCCAGGTTCCACCTGAGCCCAGGGCTTCTTCGGCACCAAAACATCCTGCACACATGGGTGCTGCACCTTAGAATCATACAATCATAGAATCATTTAGGTTGGAACAAGGTGACACAGACACCAAGCACTTTGTGCTCACCTTGCATTAGCGTTATTTGTATGAAGTCAAAGACAAGGCATTTGCGTCCCAAAATGTTTTTCTATCTTGAGTAAGCTTAGCCAAATGTTACGCTGTTCCCTGACGCACCCAACAAAGCGCACGAAATCCCCGGGCTGTAAAAGCGAAGGCTGCCAGCCTCTCCATTAGCAGCGGCAGAGTTAATCACAGGGCGTAATCAGAAGGTTAAGCAAGGAAACTGGTTCTGTGAGTTAACGTTCAACCAAGGGCAAAGTATTTGCTGAAGCTGAAAGGGCTAGAAGGTGCTGGGGGAGGAGGAGGAGAGAAGGGGGTCTTCGTCATGGTGAGGATCAGAGGACCATTTCAGCTCCATTTTTGACAACTAGCTTGTCTGGGATTGTTTTGTTTGCGGTTTTTTTTTCTTGGTAACTTCACTTCCAGTCTTGTAGTCCAACGCTTACATCGCGCTCTCTGACAGGAACATTTTGCCTTTTTTTCTCAGCCTCGGTGAGCAATACGAATGGTTTCAGACCGATGTGGCGTGCACTGGAAGGGGTTTACTACCAATGTGCGGGTTTGGTCTTGCCACTCCCCACCTCTAGGGCAGTTTGCAGCCTCCCTGCTGGGCTGCTCAGGGCCCAAATCTCTTTCCCCTTTGCTGGCCAAAGGCATTGAGAAGCCCAGGGATTTAAAAAAAATAAATAAATAAATCACAGCTCTGCGTGCCCTGTAGCTTTGCCTGTTCTAGCGTGAAATACTTCAATTTTTTAAGTCAAACTTCACTATAGGTAGATACGGCCTGAAATATTATGTGTGGAGAATGACTGCAGAAATACATAGTTCTTGCTCATTTAAGAAAATAAATATATAAGCCTTTTACTTCACAAGTGTACTCATTTATAGCAGAAGAATTACCTGGCTTGATAAATCATGAGTTTCTCCCCAAAGCCTTTGCTCAGGCCCAGTGGCTCTGGTACAGCCGTTCCTTGCATCAGCCTCCCCGGCCGGCTGCGTCCCCTCCGCCCAGCGACCTGCCGTAGGTGCAGACCTGCTGCGAGGTGAAAGAGAGCCTTACAAGATTCAGGAAAGGACAGGAGCAATAGTAATCGATCAAAATACAGATACGTTCCGAAAAGAGAAGGGGGCACTGGCCTGCAGCGGAAAGGAGGAGAGTTTTCTTTCCTTTTTTTTATAGTCAGCAGAAAGCACACTAACAAAACCGGAGCATGGGATATGCTTTTTGGAGTCAGCTGACGGAGTTCTTGATCCTTATGGGACCCATCCTACTTGAGGTTTTGCTGTGATTCTCCAGCACTAACAGTGTGTAAGTATGGGGAAAAGTCCTTGGGCTTAACTCTAACTTGAGGAGGGAAAGCCCGTCAAAGCAAACAGCATTTCCCAGCCTTCCCTAGCAGCTTTTCTGTGAAGGCAG